TTGACCTCCGTGGACAACCTGGAAGCCAAACAAGACTTTTATAGTCTTGGCCTCATTAGTCTCACTGGTCTCTTTAGCCTCTTAATAATCTTTTAAAAGATCATAAACCAATATCCATTATTAGAGTTAGGAACTTCAAACAGAATGGCTCTTCTAATGTGTAAAAGGGATAGTCTTACGACCTAGACTCAGTAGACAACCTCATTCATGCTCAGGTGGGTAAATCCGGCTTGTTCTTTTACAAGTGCATCGGTTCAGGAAAATGAGTTTCATCTTTGGCACTACCAGTGAACACTTCTGTCAGTACACAGAATGAAATATGTCAGAAATCCTGCACGTCATCAAGAGCCATAGAGAGAATATTTCACGATGGCATCTTTCACATCACCAGCGGGAAAAAATAATTCAGTTCCAGCACACAGTGCGTCATACAGCATACACCTACATTTCGCAGGCACGGGCTGATCAACACCCACACGAGCTAACTTTAAACCAACTGTTTGAGCGCAATAGCCAAGGCAGCATAAACCTTTGTGGGGGTTAACACCAAAGTATATTTTTTGATTTCCTACGCCAGCAGGTAGGCTTCCCAGCCGGAGCTCGCTGTTACCATGGCTACGTTACCAGCCCTCCCCAACTCAGCTAGTTTAAAGCTAATTTGGATAAGCCTGCATTAGCTGCAGACATTTCAGTGACTGCAATGTAGACATACTCATAGCAGTAAGGGATTTTAGAAAGATTTCAAAATAGCCAACTAATTTTTTTTTAAATGTCTGCTGACACTATTACCACCGATGGAATGAGGAGAGGTGCTGGGAGGTAGATGTAGATGGGTGGGAGACTTTCCTAAGTAAGTCAAATTGCAAGGGAGTGCTGCAAGCAGCCCAGATTGTTTGTGATTTATTTGATACAATGGTATAGACAAAACCACAACAAGGATAATTTTATGTCTTTAAAACTGCATTTTGCCTTCTGTGTGTTCCATTGTTTATTCAAGTGTAGAGCTTCCTATGAAAAGAACTAGTTTCTGTATCTTTCTGGCATCACAGATGAACTTAAGTTTTCTTTTATTTATTCAGTAATTCTTTTTATATATAAAAAAAGCAGGTAACATATATTATTACTATATGGAGCAATTAAATTGTTAGACACAATTAAATTGAATTGTAGACAGAAGCAAAACTATTATTCAATCTCTCTGTATCTGAATTTCCTTTTCTTTTCACATTATCTTCCCTAATCCCAGAATTAGTATACCAAAGTATCAAGTAACAGCGTCCTATCATTCCCTTATCTGCCACACACTGCATTTGTACTTGTTTCAGCACTAAGCTATCTCCATTGCCTGAAAAATCACTTGACATTGCATATATTCAGGTTGCAGTGCCTTGGAAATAAATAATTTCTTGTTATCTATTCCATAAATATGCTCAGCACAAGTCATCCAATGACCACAACGGTAAGCTGCTTTAATTGAAGAAGAGACCAATGGTCTCAGCTGTATTATAACATCTCTTTAATAGATTACCTTGACAGACTGCTAAAGTAAATTATCGTCTCTCTTCAGAGTGAAGTGTTTTCAAATTCATATTCCTTTTAAGTGCATTTCCTTCAAAATGATTACACAGCCAGATCAATCTCTGGGTCATGCTCATTGAAACTACCCCAAAAGGTAGTGTTTTACTGCTTCCTCTTTAATGGGTAACAGGGCACTGAAGATGCTCTCTCTTTACCCACACATTTCCTCTTACCAACTCCAAATTAATCCAAAGACTTTGAAGAATGAAAGCTGCTTGGCAATGTTTCCAAGTGGTCAGTCTTCTGTACGCTGCACTTACAGAAATAAACTCCCTTCCTTGCTCAGGAGGCAGACTGCTCACATACGCCATCTCAGCCAGAATTAACGTGAGGCTGAAAAAAAAGAGGAGGTGCCAAAGCCCCACTACAGAGCTTCTCCTAACACTGGGTGTCAAACAGGAGTCGAAACAGCATGAGAAAGTAAGGTGTGGATTACGCCACACAGCGCATTTCACACATCCGAACGGGGAATTAGCGCATAGCAGCTGATACACCTTTCAAGTCAGATCCTTACTTATTGTATAGCTTAAATTTGTAGATGCAGTTGAGCAATGAATTAATTCATCCCCATGGAAATTCCTGATGGAGTGTTTGAATGTGTTTTAAAATCCTGAAATGGAAAGATATCTAAAGGGCCATAACGCTTTGAGAGAAAGAGATGAACTATTTGGATACTAACCCTCAATGCTTAAGGGCCAAGAAAATGATGAGGTTTATGTTAAGGGTAGAACAAGGATTTGTAACTCTCCTACCAGCAAACAGGAGAACTTCAAGCAAATGTCAGCTGAAACACAGATGGTCTCTCCCTCAGAAACAGATTTTGCTGTCACACAGCTTGTTCAGACATCACGACTAGTTAATCTAGTTACTAATGTGTATACTTCATGAGCCTCACCTTTGCTACTACTTGAATGTCTCAACTTCTACCATTTTAAATTCACACTGGATGGCAAGTTTCTATAACTGTCCATTGATTTTATGTCCATTTAATTTATTAATATTTTTCCCTTCATATTATCACTATTAAGTAACATCCTATACTCCCTATACAGTTTTATATTTGCACCTCATTCTGGAAATACGTCAACAGGCAGAATTTTACAACTAGAGGGTGCTGGAGGACCATAATGTGACATAGTATGCAAAACTCTCAATGACCTTTAGTGGAAAGCAGAAAAATAAAATAAATCAATTATTACTGCTCAGTAGGACGAGTTAATACATTCTGAGGTAATATAAATACTGCAATATCATTGAGTGTAAATAAAAAGAAAATTAATACTTTATCGCTGATACAGTTTTATTTTAAATTTTGTTTCAATTTTGCTGTTAAACTTAACTTCAGTCCTTAGTTTTTGTGCTGTAATGAATGAAAAGCCTTTATCTTAATAATACACATTCCTTTTGCTTCCTTTTGTGTGAGTTGGAAAGCAAGTACTGTGTATTATTGATTAAATGTTTTATGATAAAACACAAAAGCCGTCAAGTAAGCAGGAAAGCAAGAAGGAACAAAGATTAATTTAACAATAAAATCTATAATTGAGATTATACAGATAGAATGTGGACATTAATTACAGATAAATCATTTAGTAAGAGTTCTAACATGAAAATTATCTTCCAAAATTCATATAATTTCCAACACAGGGTAATTATTTTCTTGCCTTCCAGTACTGTAAGAAAAAATACAAGTATGAGAATAAATAATGTCTATAAATATAGCACTCTGATTGTATGTAGAAAAATTACCCCTCCCTTCCTTCCTCTCTTTGAATTATCCTTATTGCTTCTCAGAGTCTCTGACAATTCTGTAAATACCTTCCACAGATAGAAATATTTAAACTTTGAACTGGAGATAAAAATACATATATTTCTTCCCCCTCTGGGAAATGTCACAGGTCAGTGACATTTGGGGTTTCCCTTCCATTTCCTCTGATCGGAAAGAGATCCAAAGGACAAACTGTGGCCGCCTCGTAAAGTGGCTCCCCGAGATCTCCACAAGAAAGTGGCCAGGAAGCTGGCGGAAAGCACCTGACCCTATTCTGAAGGGAAGACCTCTTCAACCCAAACACAGATCATTGCAATCAGGCTGTTGATCACAAAATGGCAGTGGTTAGGAAAAACCCTGGGCACGTGCAGATCCACCAGATGCCCAGCGAAGCCAGCGTGGCATGCTCTGCTCTCTTTATGTTCCCACTTCTGACCTTCTGGTTGTGCAGGCTCACCACACGTGGACAACATTCACGTGGTGGGCAATACCCAAGTGACTGAAGAGCCCAGCTGTGGCCTGCATTGGTTCAGCACATCCTGGATGAGCTAGAAATGTAGCACAAGTGTGATTGTGTCTATTTCCTCACTATGGAAGGTTTCAGGTCTTTAGTTCAGCCCCTTTCTCACCTATGAGGAGCCAATAATCCATGTTTCCTTTTATGAATTGCCAATTTAGTGAGAACTGTCTGATTTTAATATTTAAACAAACTGTTGTGCCCCAGCTTCACAAGCGCAGACATTTCCCTAC